CATGTTTTCAGCCCTATCTTAGAACTTTCTCGAGGGAGGGGAGAAGGGCAGGGAGGAATGGCATCAAAATGCTACACCTCTTGTTATCCACAGCCTAGAATTTTCATATTTGGAAAGTTTAGGAAATTCTATCACCATTTCTCCTTTGAATGGCACAAATAAATACACTACATAGATTTTTCTGGCTTTAAGGACCCTAGGCAATAACTTTATTAACTCAACCTGAAAATATCAAGCCATTAAATTTTGTCTGGGTAGAATAAATCCCCGTGGCCTCCTTGAAAGCAATGTAGGTCTCTGATGCCCGTGGGCATATCTGTGTCCCAATCCACAAGAGATAGGACCAACAAACAAGGAATGTGCAACCTACTCTTTCTCCTTGGAAAGAAGAAAGCATGCGTGTGGGAGAGTGGGCAGACTCTGCCTTCCCCCTCCAGTTACCCCCCCTTTGTCATTTTTTCTAACTTCATTTCATAGGCAGACTCAGAATACCTGAGTCTGAAAATGTCAGGATAACACTTGTAAATTTGTGACAATCACTACACTATCCCATATCTAAGATTTTTTTTTAATGCCGTTTATCCACTAACACTATTGTGCATTAGAGCTGCATAATCTTACAACTCTAGGGAAGAAAAAAAATGTTTGGCTTATCCTAAGATTCCTTTCCAAGGTCAAAACAAGAAATCCCACTCCATAATCAAGAGACATGCGTTTTAGTAACATCAGATGTATTCTTCTCTTTTCCCTTATCAAATAGTTACTCTTCCCACACTCTTAGTTTGGAGTCTAATCCTTTTTTCCTAGAATAAGGGGTAAAGGAGGATGATGAAATGTTGGAACAATTGAACATCCCTGTCCATTTTCTCCAAAAGCCTTTTTTATTCTAGCAGATCTGTGCAATCTTTTCTTTTCTCACAGACACTGTAGGCCTAGGCCTGAAATAACTGGGAAGAGAGATGAGTATCAGAATTTCTCAGCAAGACCTAAACAAAACATACATCTTCTTTAGTGTGAACTGAACTGGGGATGGAGTGGGAGGGCTTGGAGGAAGGAGAAAAGAAGGGACTGTATTTGAACAAATATGAATAAACTTATTAGATACTTTTCACAATCAGATAGCTCCCCCCAAAAAAGGTCATTTTCTATCTTTCTAAGGATGTAAGCCTTAATGAAAGCAATTCTTAATCTCAAGCTTGAGGAAATTCCCGAATAATAAGTTTACATGTATTTGAACTGAAAAATTGTTAACCACGCTTTTGCTCCAAGATGTGTGAGGGCCTTTCAGGGGCTGGAGGGCCCTAGATAGACACACAAACAAATATGTGTGTATCTGGAGCCCCACACATTGTAATAAACACAGCTGCATTTATTTGAGTATGTGCTCCCATGTACATGTAAAAACATTCAAACAAACACACTCAGCAGATTTATTTGACTGTGCAATGGGGCAATTATTCAAATAAACATGCTTGGTGCAATTATTTGAATCTCACATTGCATGTTCATCAATCACAGCACTAAAAAAAGAGGGAGGGAAACACCAAAGAATTTACGTGGGAAAAAAATATATGTGAAAACAACCTTATTATAGATTTTATAGAGTTAGCCAAAGTTATGGCTCCCTCCTTAACTGTAACTCAACTATTCTGTATTCAGTGACATTTGTTTCTAATGACTAATTGGTTCATTCATTTGATCATTATATCAGAATGACCACAACATTCAGATTCGTATAATATCGAACTTTGCAAACCTGAATTGGGTAGAGATGTGAAATCTCTATATTTCAAGTGCAGAATAGTTCTTTCTAGATGTCTTACATCAAGGGGACACTGGTCAAATTGTTATCACTTTAAATAGCACTCCCATAAATTTAAAAAATTTTATACATACAACAAAACATTCCTACATTTGAAGACATAAAAAAAATCACAGGTGACTCATCTGATCATTTTATATATTAATAAATATTATGACATATATGTGAACACATCACGAATCATATAGGTGTACCAAGAGGCAATTTATGTCTCTCTTAAGTATGTACTGACATAACCTAATATACTAAAGTGGGAAGGGGCGTTTAGTCACTGAAATATGCATCGTGTAACAAAGATGAAGAAAATACATGGCTTGTGCCCATCATAAAAAAGATTCAGACTGAAGGCTTAGCTTTGGTTTTTATTCAATTAAATTGTTAAACTGTGCACAGTGATTTTTTTTAGAACTTGAGACATTTGTGATGTTGGCTGTTTAAATCTTTGTTACCTTCGCTGTGAATTGAAATTGTACATATTTAGTAAATCATGCAGACAAAACAAACTTTTTAGACAATATTTTTATTGGAGAGTTTTCTTTTCCTGTATCCATGTCAAAAAAAAAGACCTCCTTTCCCAAAATAAAAATGTCAATACTAAATTTAAAGAAGTATAAAGGAATGATTGCTTCCTTTAGAGCTAAATATTTAAATAAACATGAAGATAATTGGCAACACGTTCTTTTGGGCTGATAGGCCGTGTCCAATTTTTTGGGTCTTATGTTTCAGAGGGCCTCTGGTTCAGGGTTGAAGATGATATATTAATCTCTGAATTAAACAAATGCTATTAAATAACAGAAATAAATCCCTCAGTCTTCATTTGTATATGAAATATGGAATTAGTCAGAGTTATGACACTGAGATGATATGATGCTGAATATGCCACAAACTAAAACTTTCTCTATTAAAATAGTTACTTACCACCTATAATCTAGGGTGACATGTTAAAATACTCCAAAATATTGAAAATATAAAATGAACACTACTGTTCCCATTTGGCCTTGAGATGAATATGACAAAGATTCTAATAATTTTAGTCAAAGAAAATGATGAGTAAAAAATACATGAAGATTAAGGGGTGACAAATGATCTTTTAAGTATTCTAATTGGTCTTTCTCATTCATATCTTTAATTCAACAGAAATTGCAAATCCTGATGATCCTGATTTCAAGTGTACCCAGTCAGCTTTCTCTCTTTTACTCCACAGAATATGCCTGTTAGATTTGAAACAAAGAATAAGCCCCCAAAATGTTAAAAATAGACTACTGCCCTGGCAGGAAATTTAGCATTGGCAAGCACAGAACTCAGAAGGAACTGATCTAACATAAGGAAACATTCAGAGAAAGATTTGTGCATTATGATCCTATTCTGACCATTTTTCAGAACAGTCAAAGGGAAGTATGAGAGAGAAAATGTGTATGTGTGTGTGTGCGTGTAGGTCTGCTAGCTTTGTGTGTGCACACTTGAATAGCTAGTGTTTAAAAACAACAACAATACCCAAAGGATAGAAGGAGTCCGAATGGAGTGCTTTTGAGATATTCTATATATTGTTATCTTACACAAATGGAAAACACTTCAAATGTTGATACTGGAAAAATAAAAGTTTCTGAAGACAGCATCTCAAAAAAATTCTATATAACTTATAAGATATGCCAACAATAGAACAGAGAAAATATTAATTTATCTTTACTCTTTTTATAGGAAACTTAGATTTTAGTTTATGACCTTTCCTTAAAGGAGAATCACTTCTATCCATTCCTCAAGCAGTCTTATAATAAGACAAAGAATTACAATTACACTCCATTCTAGTTTTGTTTAGGAAGAGAGGAATACAGTCTTCAAGTACTTGAAAAAAACCATAGATGAATAAAGAATATAAATTTAGAAAGGAAACTCAAGAACATCCCTATCCTCACAGAAAACATTATGGTATATTAGTGACCACAAGCACCCTACACCTTGGTTTTTACATCACTTCTGAAAGATACCACTTCCAACACAAACAATATTTCCCAACCCTGTAGTGCAGCTTGGGATTGGTACAGACATAGAGGGAGAATACCAACTATTGAGTAACCCTCAACCACTTCCTGCAGTCCTGAAACATTCAGTGGAGGTCTACCACTTCGTTATTGAACATGCTTAGAAAGTGTGAGCTCATAGGTTTCCGGTTGGAGGTAGCTCTAAGCAAGAGGGGGAAAAAGAGAAGTACAAACCACTCTGCCCAACTTGATTTAACACTAAAAATGCCATTGCTGGAGAGCATAGGCTTGAGAATAATCAGGCCAACATCTAAGTAACCACCTTTTGTTCTTTTCTCCAAAATAAAGTGCTTGTATATTATCAAGTCAATTCCACAAAAAGGGACATTTCACTCACTTTAGAATAAGTGGTGATGGAACGTTCAAAAAATGTTTATCAGGGGCTGGCCCCGTGTCCTAGTGGTTGAGATTGGCATGGTCTGCTTTGGCGGCCCAGGTTTGGTTCCCAAGGACAGACCTGCACCACTTGTCGGTGACCATGCTGTGGCAGTGACCCACATACAAAATGGAGGAAGATTAGCACAGATGTTAGCTCAGGGTAAATCTTCCTCAAGCAAAAAGGGGAAGATTGGCGACAGATGTTAGCTCAGGGTGAATATTCCTTAGCAAAAAAAAAAAAAATTTATCAGAACAAGAAGACCTCCAACCACAATAGCTGCTTAATGTGTACTACCTTGATTTTAAAAATGAAAATTGGATTAATGATTTGTACAAATAGTTTTCCAGGAATTGTCACGATCCCTTGAGTCAGATGCCTTCACCTACAAATCAACCAATAGCTATGCTATATATGCCGCTATGAACTGACCAAGTTATAACATAGTTTGAGTGTACATTAAAATTGTCAGAAATCTTGTTCTAGTTCTTCATGAAACTCTCCTATGAATTGGGCAGGAAGAAAATCTTTATGTTTGTAATGCTCAGAAAAATAAAAGCAGTTAATCTGCCACTTGCATCTTATAGATGAGGCAACTGACGTGTACATATTCTTGAGACCACACTAGTTATTTGTTTGTTTCTGCCTCACAATGATCTAGAAAGAAGTCAAACATAGATTGTGAGAACCCCGGTCTCTGGACAGTTCTTTCTTCAACATATCACAGTAAAACACTCCTTCAAATGGCTATGGAAACATCAAAAGGAACAAGTTAATTTCCCTACTTCCTGCAAAAAGTTCATTCTAGTCCACAAGAACTCTTCCATACAAGAGTGGAATGAAAATAAACTACTTGAGAAACTCTACATTACTCTAAAATGTCACATCATCATCTGAGAGCTGTTAGCCACTGGACTAAAGTCTCCTTTTACGTGAGAGCCAGAAACAGTCTTAATTTTGAGAAATGCTCTTTAAAAACTACTACCTGCTTTTCATACATTTTACCCACTAGTTTTCTCCAAGACTTTTGACAATGCTTATGTCCATTGAGGAGTTGTGGTTCCATTCAGCCCCTCCACCCACAGTTGTGAGTCCTCAATGCCATCGTCTCTCTAGTCAATTCTTTTCTGAATCCCACGCACACTGAATGACCAGAGATGGTCAAAGGAGGAAACAAAGCAGCAGAGTGACAGGAGCAATGGGAGATTCACAAATCTGTAACGGGAGAACAGGAATGGACTGAAATAAAGAGCATGGAGGAATTTTATATATTCTCTCATCTAAAGCCTTGACTTTTAAAATCGTAGAGCTCAGAGAGAATAAAAACCCAACGCAGGTACTGGCAGAGCTGAGACCAGAAGCCAGGTCTCCCATTATGGCGTAGATGCTTTTATGACTTCTATTGAAAAATAACATTAATAAATAACAGTTATAACATTGATAGTTGTTCAATTTACTGAGTGCCAACCATGTGGAAGGTGTAATACTACGTATTAGAGGATATACAAAGATGAACAAGATAGGACTACTAGCCTCAGGTTTCTTATAATTTGTCAGCGATAGACACACACAGGGAAGTAGAATACTGAGTTCTGGGTGTCGTAGGAAATGTACTGATATAAATGTCCCAAGCACGCTCTCTTCTATACCATGGTGTTTCCTCTATTTAAACACAAAATACCATCATTCCCTCAATAATACGTATACTATTGAGTGATGCTTATGAGCAGCACGGTTCTACGTCCTAAGGCTACAGTGGTGAAGAAACAGAGAATGTTCCCACCTTGAGGGACCTACCTTCTAGTGGAGAAGATAGAAAACAAAACAACTACATAAGATCAGTTCACATAATGCTGAGTGTTTGGTTGAAAATAGAAGGCGGCGATGTAATAGCGATGAGATGGGATTGGGAGACAGGCAATCTCCTCTGTGGGGCAAGAAGGGGATGTCAGGAAAAGTCTGTCTGAGGCAGTGGTGTTTGAGATGAGGCTGAAATGAGAAGAAGTTAGCCATGGGAAGATCTGGAGTGAGAGTGTTCCAAGAAGAAGGAACAGCAGGTGCAAATACCTGAGGCAGGAATGAGTTTGGCTTTATCAGAATAAAAAGGCCCATCTAACAAAGCATAGTAGGAAGGGGAGAACATGGGAGATGAAGTCAGAACAGGAGAGAAAACCTTTCCCAGGCCATGTGAATGATTTAGAGTGTGACCTCCCGTTCAGAAGCACTCAAGAACAACTTTACAGATAAAACTCAGTGAATTTTAAGGAATGAGACTTCTTAGGTCTTTTGGCCCAACATCATGTTTTCATAGGTGAGAAAACTGAGTTTACTAATCTATGAGGTTTACCCTCTGAGAGTCAGAAGACTCAGAGGTTATTATGCCCAGTGAATAGAAATGAACATAGCAACCTGTTCATGGCCTATTTGTAATTTCCTCCCCTATAAAATGGACAGTGACGTTCTATGTCCCTCTGGCTTTAGAATGAGAGAAATCTCATTTCTCAGACTCTTAGGAGATCATCTGCTTTGTGTCTAGTCACAGGCAGATCTGTCAGCCTGGAAAACAGAAATTGTTTGGGCCAAAGAAGTTTGTATTTTGGAAACTAAAGCACCAGATACAGCAAAACTATGCCACTGTGGTACATTCCCCTGGAAGCACCTTCCCTGATCAGCATGTCCCAGCATAGTCCCCACATTTGCCAGTTTGCTCAAAACAGCTGTGCTATAATCAGACATGAGCAAGGGCCCCAGCCATTTCCCCTTCCCCTGAACTTCTGAAAAATACAAAAACTCTCAGAGCTGAGAGAGAAGCCAATAAGAAGTAAGGAACATGCAGCAGGTGGTACCATCTGTGCCCGGCTAATTCCAGCCAAAACAATCTGCTCCCTCGAGTTCCCAGTTGTGGAGAAGGGAAGAGAATCTGACAGTGGCGGAGCCAGGGGAGGGGGTGTAGGAGGGCAAGTGCAGAGGCTATTATTCAAACGTTCAGCTGGTTGTGGAAGTAGACTATTGGTGCCAGTGAACTATTATCTCTCTCCTTTTCTCGTTACAACCACTGTGGGAGATTCCTCCAAAGTCTCGCTAAGCTGGCAAGTCTCAGATCCCACACCTGTGAGACAGACATGTAGGCATCACTGTGAGTCTGTCACCACTGCGATGGGAGGGACAAACATTCTACAGCAAGACTGGGAAGCACAGCCCACCCCAAAATGGAAAAACAAGGGGGAAGAAAGCTTATGTTTATTTTATTCTATTTTCCTAGC